TTGCACTGCAGTATCTCGTGCGAAATTATTTCCGGGCTGAACGTGTAATAGCCGTGAGATTGGCCAAGAACGTGTCAAATCTACCTGCAGTAAAGTACGCCACCGGGTCTGCACTCATCCACTACGACAATGATGTTAACCCAGCCTTCCACTATTATGAGTGTGTGGGCACCGGCCTGAACATCTCTCAAATCACTGGTAGCACTCACTCCAGACTCATCCAGTGCCTGACGTCACAAGTTCCTTCCCTAGGATTTCATGATGACCTTGCCAAGTATCAGCACTTGGGCACAACGTCTGGAGAACACGACCAGCCTGGAGACAGGCCTCCACCAGACACCCCAGGTGCTTCATCACCAAGTGAAAGTCGCCTGTCTACAATCTACGAAGAAAGCGAGGGACATGACATCGAGGCTATGATGATGGAGGAGTGGTACGATGAGTTGCGTATGGACCTTCATCCCACAACGGTTATCGACGACCATCTCTACTGCGTCCCAACAACTATGCTGCCCGACCAATGTGTCTTGGTCTCAGCATTCGTGGACGAGGAAGATACCGTAGTGTCGGAGATGCTCGGAGACGAGCCTGAACTACAAGAGCCCTGTCTTATCTCTATGCTCGACTGCACCTGACGAGGGCTATTCTCTTGACAGTGATGAACATGGTCCTTATGTTGAGCTATGTTTCACACCAGAAATGTCAAAGGTAGTGTTGGATCAGACCCAACTTGCACAGCTTGAAACTGACATGGTCGCAACGATGAGAGTATATGTATAATCGGCTGCTAAACGTGCTGTGGTAGTCAAGGAAGCTGACCTACTCACCAAAGCCGATATAGCAGCACACCCTAAATAGGTTAGTGAAGCTTTGTACACCGAACTCAAGATCTGGCTTGACAACCGGTGCTTTGAGATGTTTGACCAACATCATGACATCCAGATATGTATACAAGTGGAAGTTTGTGAAGGTAGGCACCGAGAACGTTAAAACCATCTGTCTCAGACTTGTCCTTGCCGGATTCATGGACGCGGAGGCGTTCGATGTAGAAACCTTTTCAGGAATTGCTCGAAGGCAGTCCCAGAGGCTCCTGGCAAGTGAGGCGGCATGTCATCCAGAATGGAGCTTAGTATCTATGGATATCGACAAAGCGTTCCTCAAAGGTCTGACCTATGAGGAACTTGCTCATGCCACCGGCGAGGAAACTCGCATGGTTTGCTTCACTCTTCCACCAGGAAGTGCCCAGGTGCTTCGTGCACTACCAGGCTTCTCTTCTTACGATGAAAGCCGACACTGCCTCAGGTGCCTCAAGCCAGGAACGGGTACAAAGGACGCCCCAAGAGCGTCCTCCCTCAAGCTTCGTACGACTACACGAGCTATAGGCCTCATACCAGCAAGTTACGACCCTGAGTTTGAATTCAGTCAGGATCTGTTAACGGCAAAACATGTCGACGATATCAATATGACAGGCCTAGAGAAAAACGTAGATGACTATGTACAACGTGTCGAAAAGGTGTTTGGTAAATGCAAGCTCAACAAACATTCTTATACGAACTGCGCCGTTCGCTACACTAAGAATGAACAAGGGGATGTGATCATGGATCAGGACGAGTACATTAAACAATTACGTCCTATCACACACCCTGAACTTACGGGAGCGGCGGCAGACGCCAAAGCTACCAAACTCATCACCGACATGTTCGTTAGCCTGCGAGGAGCTCTCGCCTATGCCCTTCTTAGTCAAGTCTGGCTTATGGTGTATGTGGTCTCTCCCAGAAGATCCAAGAGCCCGCCAACTTACAAGTCAGACGACTGAATGCTGTGGCGCGAAAGCTGATCAGCAGGCCGAAACGCATCACCTTCCCTCGGATGAAACCGACGAATGAAGTAGACGTACACAGTGATTCGGGGTATCGGAAGCTCACCGGGGAGGAGGACGATGAAACCAAGGGCTACGGTATTCGTGGGGCTATCGTACGGCGAGGAAACTCGCCTCAAGGCAAGTCCGTCATTCACCTTTGCGACGGACTATGTAAATCACACCGACTGCAGGTGAGGTCCAGCTATGCCGCTGAGGCGCTTGCAGCTGCACACAATCTTGATGAATGTTATCCCACGCTCATCACTCTCCACGAGCTCAAGGCAGGGGCACTTACTCCACGACAACTACGAGATATGCGTGAAGTTGGAGGCCTAGCTATCAAAGTATCCCTTACTATAGACGCTGAGTCTGTATACAAGTCGCTATCCAGCAAAGATCTTAATATACCGACGGAACGGACTTTGTTGGGACATATCAGCTGGATACGTGAGCTCATGGATATAGGCATAGTGCATAACGTACAGTGGTGTGATACTAGAGACATGACCGCAGATGGGCAGACAAAGGGGAGTATCGATCGGGAGCTGCTTTTGGAAGTGATGTCAGGCACTCAGTCATTTAAGTATGACGTGAAGCAGTTTGTTCCCTTTCGTGGCCCTAAGGACAGCAGTCAGCCTAAGTCGAATCAGTTTTAGTCAGTCCTTGTTGCCCCCGCGGTCCAGTTTGCCAGCACGGGCGCCTAATACAGAGGCGCCCTCCTAGCCGCTCGGAAGCGAGCCCTACTTTTCACGCTTGGCAGCGAGCCTGTTCAGATTGGTTCAGGCTCTTTGCTTTAATACCTTTTTGCCTGGAGAGGAATAGCCTGTTTGGCTTACCTCTAGCTGGGCCGATAGCCCTTTGATATCCAAGGGGCTATCCTGCGTATGCGTGAAAATGTTTTGCGAGGAAACTCGCCGGCGAATAATCTCGCCCTACAGTCTGGTGTTAGGCCAGACTGTGCGTACTGTTTTTCTTGCAAACAGTTGTGCGCGCGGCCTTTCTAGAGCCTAACGGCTGCGCGGCTATACTCTCCGTCTCCTCCCCTCCCGACTTTAAGGGTGGCTCTTTGGGAGATGTTATAGAGGATCGGGAGTATAGCCTGCGCGCCCTTGCTTTTGGCTCAAGGCACGCGCGCCCTAGTTGCCCGGACACTGCTGGTGTTCGCTATGTGATGGGAAGATCATTACATCGATCTTATCTTATTTCATCCATCCACTCCCCATACTGAACTGACACAGCATGGAATTGGATGCTATTTGACTTACCATAGTAATTCCAGACTGAGGGGGAGGAGGAGGAGGAGCAGCAGGAGCAGGAGCAGGAGCAGGAGGATGAGGAAAAGGAGGAGGAGGAGGAGGAGCGAGGAAGATGACTGAGTAGGACGAGCGAGGAAGGAGAGGCGACGAAACAAGGACGATGGGAAGGAAAACGACCGAGGAGGAAACGGACAGGGGATGACGAGGAGGAGGAGGAGGAGGAGGAGGAGCCGGAAGGAGGAGGAGGAGGAGGAGGAGGAAGTGGGAGGTGGCAAGAAGGAGGGTTGGGATGATGAGCGGAAATGAGTTATTACCGAGGTGGTGCCGAGATGTTACATCACACCCACCCCTAAGCCAATCATTAAGGCTTGCCCCGTCATATTGCCTCGTCTTCTGGGGCTTTCCCTCCTACTGACGACCGTGCAATAAGTGAGCGTTTCCATCTGTCGGTGCGCAATGCAGTGTAAGTTGACGAACTCCTGCGTGCCGATAGGGGACGCCGTTGATGGAGACTTCCGCGTGCGCCTGTTTCGTGCGGTACCCTGTATGAACTGATGCAAGGCGCGCTGCATGGTGCGCGAGAGCCCCGCGCGGCAGGACCTCGTGGCATCAAGTAGCTTGTTCATGATAGTACATGTGTGTGGAATTTATGTAGAACGACATGCGCCTATTTGCCATGCACAGGTGTGTATGTGCATGTGTATGTACGGATACGTAAACGATGAAGCGGTCTTATGGTATACCTCACGTATATGATAATGTACGTCGTGTAAGTGCATAATGATTCACATCTCATTGTACACATATACGTCATATGAGTGTGTAGATCTACACAAGACTGCGTTGGCGTTTCGCGCCATGCATCTTGGTCGCCCAACCAGCCCATCCAGAAATGATGCCCAGGGGAGTTGAGGTGATCAGGTAAGTGGGGGAACATGCAGAAGAACAAAGGGTATGGAGTCGTCATATACCCTAAGAGGGAGAGGATCGAGTCGTCGTCGTCGTCGTCGTCGTCGTCGTCGTCGTCGTCGTCGTCGTCTGAGGAGGAGGAGGAGGAGGAGGATGTGGAGTAGGACGAGGACGAGGAGGACGAGAAGGAGGAAAAGGAGGAGAGGGAGGGAGAGTTGGGTACCTCGGGGATCCTCTTGAGGCCTCGTATGGGATCTCTTTGGAGCCTCTTGAAGGCCTCTTGGGGCCGTCTGGGCGCCTCTTGGGGCCCTCTTGGGGCGCTCTTTGGAGCTTCAGAGACGCTCTTGGGGCTACCTTGGAGGACGTCGATGAAAAAAGAGTGGAGCTTCAAGTAGCCTCCCCCCTCGGGAGCACCGAATGTCATCTCCTGGACCCCTCTTGGAACGCTCTTGGGGCGCTCTTGGGCGCTCTTGGGGCAGTCTTGGGGCTCTATTGGGCCGGCCTTTCCTGGGGCTCTCTTGGACCGTATATTCGGATCCACGGGACCCTCTGGGGCATCCTCCGATCCGCCCACGGACTTGAGGACCCTCGATACAGTGCCTCGCGGCACAGTGCTGGATTTGCCAGGGGAAGGAAGGACTCGGGCCACATTGGGTTTCTCCATTGTGAGATAAGATTTGCGGGTAAGAATGCGCGCGATGTACACTGCATGTATTATTTTTCTGAGAACGTGCCTGGGAACGGATCGGGGCTGGTCCCGCAGGACATGGACAGCGGTTATTCCATTGTGTCATAGTTACAAGAGAGATGACGATGGAGGCAGCGGGGTTAATGAAGATAAGGTGGGATGAGGACTCGTGGCATGATGAGTAGCAATCGAAGGATACGACAGCACTAATTAAGAAAACGGGGATGGTGTAAGAGGTGGAGCCAGAGGGACAGGATGGAGGAACGAGGAAGGACTAGGGAGGATGGGCAGGCAGGGAGAATGCGAAAGCGACGTTGGGGCGAGGCTGGGACGGGCGGTGCCTCCTAACGTCGGGCGCCCCTGCGGCGGACGTGACGAGACCCGCCCCCCTTCGCGCGGGCGGGGGTCCAGCCGAGCTCTCGGGGGGGCGCCCGCCTTCGACGTGGTGGTCATGGTGAACGAGACGGAGGGGCTCCTGAACAGCCTCCTCCAGGAGAGGAGCAGCAGCAGCAGGAGGAGGCGAGGGCGAGGGCGAGGAGGATGAGGAGGAGGAGCGGGAGGGTGGCGAGGAGGGGGGCCGAGGCGAGGTTGGGGCGGCCGATGGGGAGGATGGGAGGGAGAAGGGCGAGAGCGAGGATGAGACGGACGAGTACGAGCGGCGGCGGCGGCGCTCCATGGAGTCCGTTCGCGCCCGACGCCCAGCGCGGTGCCGAGCACACGGGTATGAGGGCTTTCCCCCAATATTCTCCATTGTTCGGCCCGCCCTTGCGGGCCGTGCAGGTGCCCTTCACTCTCAGGGTCGAGCTGGGTCCGCCGGCGAGCAGCAACGGCGCGGAACAAGGCGCTTGGCCGACATTGTGTTGCCCCAGCCCGCCCGGAGGACGAATCCAGGCAGCGATGGGCCGCGCCCGAAGGGTAGCGGGAGAGGCTATAAGGCCGCCGCGGACGGAAGGGCGTGGGAGCTGGGAGGGACGCGACGACACGCGCGACGGCAAGCTGGGCCATACAACTGCGAAAGAAGGGGGCAGGATTGCCCGGGCTCGCACAGCGACAGCGAGGCGGCACAATGTCCGCCAGCAACACTTGGACTAGGCTGGACACCACCACGCTTGTGAAACGCACTGCCACTCACGATGTCGCTCACTAAGATCATATCTCCCTCCGCCGTCCTCCATCGCCTCCACCATCCCCTCACCCTGGTAGTTCTCGCTGAACTTCCATGGCCCTCTCCTCACCCGTTTACAAAACGGTGTCCTACTTCCCCAGAGCTTTCATGATCTACGAGCCACACGCAGGCACAACCGGTCGACGAAGACGTGGGGGCGCGGCCTAGGCATAGATAGACCAGTTGAATGAACACACATACACATCAAGCAAGATTGGCTGCACCAGCAATGCACTAAGGTCGTGCCCAGTGGCAGAGCGGCGTCTCCCATTCGATCACAATCGTTGCTGCATGTCCCCAAATACATGCCCGAAGAGTGCGGCCAGCAAAAGCACAAGACGTTCTGGGGATCGTACCACGATTGCACCATTTGAGACATTGGGGCTCTAATTCAGTGCTGTGTGTTTGCAGCTTCAGCTTTTCTTGCACGGCAGGATTAGTCAGCGCCGCGTATATTTTCTTATGCTCTGGAGTGGTCGCCGTCTTCAGACACCATTTACCTTGTAAAGCTCGCCGCATCCTTCACGCCCTCCATGCACTGAAGCTCCGTCTTTCCTCGGGGCACAGTGACCACCTCTGCTAGCATCGCCCCCTCCACCGTGCTCTTGAAGATGACCTCCCTTTACTTTTCCACTCGCCACGTCAGACCAACAACTTCCAAATACTGCATATGACTTCTGATCCCACTAAACTCGATGATCGCAATCAGGTTTTCAACTGCCTTGGAAATGGATCAGGGCTCCAAGATATGTCGCTCCCCTTCCTCACCGTCCCCGCCATTTGATTTCTATTCCTGTACAAGCGTCTCATACCATAAAGTATTACCGTTATTTTTAAAAGGATCGGAGAAGTCAGCTGGTCACCACTCAGTAAAGCACCAATTTAGTGCGAGAGCGGCACTGGGTGCCATCGTCCATTTCAGGCGCACGATCTACGACCAACATCATCCGAGAAGTTGAAAGTATATCAAGACAGTTCTAGGCAATTGAGTTCAGAATCTGTCTGTTTTCCTCACCTTTTGCTCGTCGTGCAGTGTCTTGGTAGACAAATCACCGTAGCATTAGAATCACGAAACCTACAAAGCGGTCAATTGTCAGATCCTAGAAACCAAGGACATGCAACCGTACAGTCTGGACGAGTCCTGTGCCCAATCCCGGCCACCGGTTCGCCGTCTGTGCACTCGATACCTACACGTGCGCGCCTGGCTATTTGTCCAAGCAAGTCGGCCCCAAACCCGTCACAGTGCCCCGAGACAGAAGCATACAGTATACCCTGGCACACGCTGTGTAATTCGTTCGTGGCATCTTACAGGGCTGTGGCCTTGCCCATCTTGTTGCCGTGGAGACGGGCAGTGCACATACATGGCGTCTGATTTGCTTCCTCCTCGGATGCAACCCCTGGGAGGTCAAATTATGACTTTGCCCTGGTCCGAGATCCGGCTGGGTCCGGCTTGATTTCGTTTAATCTGGCTCAATCCCGCTTAATTTCATTTATTCCCGCTAAATCCGCGGCGTAATCCGGCGTAGCAGCCCCTCAATTGGGGCTCAATCCTCCTGGATCCTTCCGACGAAGACTTTCCGCCGGTTGCCTCCTAATTCCTCCTTCCGCCCAAGCAGATTCCCAAACGCGCACAAGCGCTCATCCTGCACAGTGAGGATCGGGTATGCGTTCCAGGTGTAGCCAAAGCATCTGGCCCTTGCATTCGCCTGGCGAAGACGCCTGGCCCTGATGCCTTGGAGAGGCGCCTCCCGATGGTGGCGCACAGAAGTACAGATCCACCGCAAGCATCGGGTGGTGCTTGGGAAATGCCAGGCAGGTATTAGTTCAAAGTGTAGCGGGGGTCCAGATGAGCGTGTATATGTATGTCTATATATATACACATCCGTTCGGTCACATTATGGGACACCACGCTCCGAATGGCAAGCTTCAGTAGGGCGGCGCTCGTCTCAAGTTGGCTCTCATCATCCGTGCCCTCACCGCGGCATACCTCGCGCCGTGTACTGGTTGCTTCGCGACAATGCCGAGTATGCGTCAACAAATCTTGCCACGATGTTCTAGCCGCGCCCGTGGGGCACAACACGTATCTGTTTGGCGTTGAGGCATGTTTGGCGATCAGGCCAAAGAGTTTCCAGCAGCGCGCGCAGCTTTTCCGTCTTTCCTCGTCAGAGCAATTTCATTAGCATGTGCATGCATCAGCACGCGCAGCTGGTGTCTATAGCCTATACGCTGCTTCAGAGCGTGCATCGTGCCGGTTGGCCTCGGGCCGACCTTGGGTTGCCTTTTCCAGCGTTCACTAGCCTGCGCGTCCACCGCGCTGCGCACGACGTCATACACCGCGCACGCTCCATGGGGACAATCCTTGGATGTCAGGCGCAATTTGTTCCAGGCAATTCTCCCACCGCCGACTGAAACTCATATTTTCCTTACCCGTATCGGAAGCAGCGAGGAATGCAGTGAGGCATACCGGCATGTGTGCGGGCTTGCTCTTTCAACTCAAGGCATGGGCCGACAGCGAAGCGCTGCACTCGGGGAACGCGCTTACCCCCCTCACCCGCGTTCGTATATCAAAGATTTGCAGCCGATCCCCCGCCCTCTCACCAGCCTCCAAATTCGCAAGGGCACAGGCTAATGCACAAACGTAAGCAACATTATATGCGTGCAGGCCAGAGCCGTCATACTCAGTTGGCCTTGTATTCGAAACCTGCTCATAACTCCCAAGTGGTGGTGTCCAAGTGTTTCTTTCATGTTCTTGCAGCTTACCGACGATCTTAGAACGTCTTTTGTTGAAGCTGTTTGCATGTTGTTTCCTAGTCCCGATAATTCGTGGTGGGACCATGGGGTTCGACAGGAGCGTGTTCCACCACGAACGTGATGTCAATGGGTTGACCTTTACACTTCACTGCACCTCGTTCACCTTCGAATCCCCTTTGTGTCGAAGCGACATGGTGTATCATGTGTCCCTGCACTAGCTTGTCATGCACGAGCCGTCGTGCTTTTGTTAGACGTCTCTCAGATTTGGAGCCCGAGGCCAGCGACGCCGATGAAAGCGAGCAGCACGAGTTCGCGCGAGGCCGAGCGTTCAGTACTTCGAAGCCCCACCGCAGGGCCCGACATCAACTGCTGCGTGATGTCCTCTCGGTCGCCTTCCTGCCGCAGAGGCCGCACGATGCAAGTAGGCACCGAAGCGACGCACGGCGTGGCTGCGCAAAGGTGAGCACTTTGGAGGTGTCGGAAGCGCGGAGGTGGCGGCGTAGCGAGGGCACTTGGACTAGCAGGGTTTTCAATTGAGCACGAGGAGGAGGAGGCGGAGGAGGCAGAAGAGGGCGAGGAGGAGGAGGAGGAGGAGGGCGAGGAGGATGACGAGGAAGATGAGGACGAGGAGGAAGACAAGGAGAAGGAGTGGAGGCTGGAGCTCCTAGGCTCCAGAACTTCCTTCTGCATTTGACGTGTGCCTGTCAGTCTTGTTGCCGTCGCTGTCCTCATCCCTTCTCGTTGTCCCCCTTCTTCTACACCTCCACCTATCGTAGTCCTGCTCCTGTCTCGTCTCCTTTCCCCTGCTCCTCATTGCGCATTCTGGCTTCTCTTTTCTCCTCGTCCTCTTCGTCCCTCCCCCCCCTCATTGTCCTTCCCCTCCTCCTTCCCTCCTCATCCTCGTCATCCTGATTTCCCCCCTCGTTCTCGCCCTCACTCCCTTCAGTGTCTATCAGTCTTATATTTCCGTTCTCGCTTCTCCTCCTCCTCATCCTTCCCTCCGGTTCCAGTATCACCCCGCTTCCGGTTTTCCTCCCCATTTTTCCTTTTATGGTCCTTCCTCCGCTTCCGCATGGTTTCTCGTCCTGACAGAGGAGTGCCTCAGCGCGTCCCATCCTGCCTGTTCCTGATCACTCCTGCTGCCTCCCGCATCGGTGCCAATTCGCCTTTTCGCACCCTGATGGAGGCTTCCGACTTGTGCGATCGCCGAGTCCGCAGTTCACATTGGGCATTGTTCTTTTTTATCTTTCATCTTGGTTCCTACGTTCTCCACCTTCAATTTCCTCTCATCCGTTCTCTATGTTGCCGCCTGCCCCCATCAGCCCTTATCTGGTTATCTGTCTCATACCTCCTTACCATGTCTCTGTTTCGCCATCTTCCTCGAGGAAATGTGGCCGCAGCTCGGAAACTTCATCGAGGGGATCTTGAAGACGACAGTTCAGACGGCGATCCAGAGGTTCGTTCTTCTTAATCCTGCTCCTACTCCGACTCCTCCTCTCCCTCATCATCAATGCTCCTCTTACCTTCTGGTATTCCTCCTGATCATCCTTCCCCACTTCGTTTTCCGTCCGTTTCCCTTCACATTCTCTCCTCCATTCCTCCTCCAAATTCTGCTCTTACTCTGCTTTCTCTACGCACTTCTACATCTTCTCCGTCCACTTACTACGTCCTCCTCCCCCTCGTCTTCCTTGCCCGTCCAAGTTCTACACCCCTCCTTCCCTCCTCTTCCTTGCACGTTTACCGTTTAATTTCTGCACCCCCGCCTCCTCGTCCTCTTCTCCATCACCTTTCCAGGCCAAGCCCACAGCAGCTGGCGCGCTTACCAGAAGAGCTGGCGCTGGCCCGCCCACCTTCGCGGCAGCCGAAGCTAACACGGTGTTTTCTTGGGCCAGGGCCGTGGTGCCAAAAGCACGGATGGCACGACGTCTCGCGCAGGTCTCCCGCAACGGACGCCTGCCCGGTGTGCAGCTGGCCCCGTGCCAAAACGAGGGGCGCGACTGCACTGGGAACTTGCCGGAGTGGAGAGACGCACTGTGAGAGGTTCCTCCATTGCCGCACGCGCAGAGCGAAGCTCTCGGGGTCAGGCCTATGTTTGTGCGACTCGAACCCGGACACCTGAAGGGACGACGCGACCGTGCGAGTATGACATGGACACATTTGCGAATCTAAACTTCTCTTATCTGCGTGGGCTGCCCTGTGTATCTGAAGCCAGGGTGGGGCCACGAAGCGAATCTTCTGATGGACACGAATGCAGACACTAATGTCAGCGGCAATGTGCCAGCACAGCGCTTACCGTCGGCAAAAGGTTTTGCTTTGTCGAGCGTGTATTTGGGCATGCCGCTCGCTGCACACAGGCAAACATGCAAACCAACCCCTCGGCCGAAATGACTACATATGTGTACGATCACTACTGCCCGCTGGCCCTGATATTCGACGCGGGCACGAGCCCTTTTGTCCGTCATTACGCTTCCCAACCATTTGCCTCCTTCTCCTCCGGCTCTCTCACTCCTTTCCTCGTCGTTCACGTCCTCTTCCTCCCCGAATTCCTTCCCACCGTCGTAACGATGCCATGCTCAAGTATTATGTTTGTGTTCTGTCCTCATCCTTAGTTCTTCTTCTCGTCCCCATCTCCTTCTCCTCTCCATCCTCATCCTTCCCCTCCACCTACCTTCCCCCTAGTGTCCTCGTTTTTTCCCACCCTCTTTTCCTTATCTCCTCCTCCGCTTCTTCCGCATGTTTGTTGGTAGCCTCCCTTCTCAGATCCATCTTCCTATTCATCCCTACGCCCTCATAGTTTTCTTCCTCTCACCTGCTCGCTTCTCCTGCTCCTCCCCTCCATTCCCCTTCCCTTTCACTCCTCCTCCTCCTCCTCGTATGATCCCTCAACCGAGGCCTCTTCGCTTGTCTTCAGTATAACGGTGTGCTGTCCTCTTCTCCTTCTCCTCCGTCTCCCCATCCTTCTCCTCCTCTCCATCCCGAGGAACCGAGGTGCTGGCGTAAAATCCAAGCGTTGGAAGTGACTTCACGTGGGACCGCATACGTTACACATGGTCGACTTCATATAATATATAAAGAAAAACCGCCCCCCCCCAGCCCTGGGTGCCACACCTCCCGCCACATCTCGGGGACGCTCCCGGTACCGCTCCCCCGGGCGTTCCGGGGAGCCTCCACAGCGCTCCAGGAGGGCGCAAGACACTCCCAGGAGCGCCCAGAATGCGAAAGGATGGTCCAAGGCGCTCCCAAGCAGCCCAAGTTAGCCTTCCGACGGCTCTCGAGGCTCCCAGGTAACCTCCAAGAGACCCTCAAGAGAGGTCCGAGAGGCGTCCCAGGACAGCCCGAAGACGCCAAAATCGTAGATTTTCATGGTTAATTGTTATGTTTTTTTGCTTCTCACCTTTTCGAGCTTCCAATGGTCCAAGAGCGCCGAAGAGGCTCCCAAGACCGCCCTAAGACCACCCAAGAGACTTTCAGGACGGCCCCGAGACGGGCCAAGAAGGCTCCAAGACTGCCGAAGAGGCGCCCAGGACAGCCCCAGACCACCCCAGAAGAGGCCCAATATGGGCCCAAGAGCGGGAGCAGGAGGCTTCCACAGACCTCCGAGAGGCCTCCGGGACCCCCCAGAGGTCCCCCAAACACCCCCGATCCTTGAGAGGCCCCAAAAAGACCCCGACGAGGCTCGAAGAACAGCCCAAGAGAGCTGCGAGAGCCGTCCCGAGAGAGCCCAAAGAGGGTAAAATCGTTGATTTCCCCAGGTTTTTTTCTAATGTTTTTCGCCTTCTCACGTTTTCCTACTTCCAACCCTCGAAGATCGAGGATTTTGAAAGAAAAGGAATTCCCAGAATTCCCTTTTTTTTCAAAGTGGGACTCCCACTCGGGGGTCCTACACATCCCCTGACATCTGGCCGGTACCGCGCCTCCCGGCTTCCCGGCGGGAGACCCCAAGACGCCGAAGGACAGCCCATGACGACCCCAAGGAACCCCCAGAACGTAAAGAACGGCCCAACACGCTCCCGCGCAGCCCGAGACACCCTTCCGACGGCTCTCCAGGCCTCCAGGAGGCCTCCAGAAGGCCCCAAGAGAGGTCCGAGAGGCGTCCCGGGAAAGCCCGAAGAGGATGAAATCGTCGATTTGGATTGTTTCTGTTCCTACGTTTTTGGCCTTCTCGCGTTTTCGAGTTTCCAACGGTCCAAGACCGCCCCAAGACCGCCCAAAAGACTCCCAGGACGGGTCCAAGACGGGCCAAGAAACCCCCGAAATTGCAGAAGAGGCGCCCAGTACCGCGCCCCCTTTTTTCCCTCAAAGTGGACCCCTATTCGGAGATCCCATACATCCCCTGACATCTGGCCGGTACCGCGCCTCCCGGCTTCCCGGGGGGCCCCAAGACGCCTAAGGACAGCCCAAGACGACCCCAAGGAGCCCCCAGAACGTAAAGAACGGCCCAACACGCTCCAGGGCAGCCCGAGACACCCTTCCGACGGCTCTCTAGGCCTCCAGGAGGCATCCAGAATCCCCAGGGGGTCTGGAAGATCCCACATCCCTGAGGGGCCCAGCTAACACAAACCGCGAGGCACAAACAAAAAACGGCGCCGAGGAATTGGAAAAGATGGGAATCCTACAATTCCTTTTTTTTTCTTTCCAAGTTTGGCCCACGGTCTACTCTTGCACAACAGACCACAATTCAGACCCCCCTCACCTCCCAAAAAAGAACCCAGGAAGCCTTTGAGGACCCCAAACCGTTGAATATCTACAGTGGAGATTAATGGTTTCTGCGTTTTCGCACTTCCCCTTCTATACGATTCCGAGGCTTGCGCAGGGCCTCCAAGGGAGTCCCTGGACGCAAGAAGCGACCAACATGCTATTACATGAGTTAGCCTATCAAACCTAGCTAGAACTTGAGCGCGCGCGAAGCGCGCGATGGTTCTAGTACATATAGACATATACATGTATGGATTCCTTTCTTGTTGGTGGCCTCCCATGCCTTGCCGCCATGCGTCCCCCTGTGCTCTTTTTCGTTTTCCGTTTCCTCCGCTCCCGTATTTTCTGCCTTCCCCCCTCGCTTGTGTTTCTCTTCCCTCCCTTGGTCTCCCCCTCTGGCTTCCGCCCTCCGCTCGCCCATTATTGTTCTCCTTCCCCCCCTGCCTCCCTCCCCCCACCCTCCCTCACAGGACCGCCCACTTAGGATGCAATTCCTGGGAGTGGGAGGTTCAGCTCAGCATCGGCGCTGCTATATCCGTGGTCGAAAACAGGCCCAACCTGGCAAAGTTCCGCCCAATTCTCCACAATCCGACTTACTCCTGGGCATATGTTGGTCTATTGCGGCCCAAATGGCGTCTTCATCTGGTTCAGTAGCCCTTGATCGTTCTTCCGAAGACCTCCCAGGAGTTGCCTCCCAACTCCCCCCTCTTCCCTTCCTGCTCCAGCCCCCGTCTTGTCTGGCTGACGCTCTGGGAGGGCATGTGCTCAGGGGAGGTTGCAGCACCGCTCAACGATGTGCTGCCAACCAAACCAGCAGGGTGGCCCCTGCCAATTTTTCTGTGCACTTCAGCTCTGGTTTCGGCTTCAGCCGTGGGTGCGGCGTGAAGCGCCTTCGGGCCAGCTCACCCGAGTCGGTTTTCCCCTCACACGGGCGACCCCCCCCCTTCTCACATCGTCGAGGATAAGAGAAACACCCCAAGCCCTAACTACAACATTACACAGTGAAGACGTGGCCTCACTTAGGCCCCCGTCTCTGCCTTAGGGCTAAGAAGTCTGGGCGGTCTGGTTTGATGCATCTGCAGGAAAGACCCCAGGTCCCTCGTGCCTCTGGCCTTCCTACATGTGGCCCGATCCCAGGAAGGGTCAGGGGTCCTCTCGCTGCGAATCGTCACGCTCCGCCCCCGTCCCCGCTGGGCTCCCTCGCTGGGCCCCCCCCCCCGGGGGGAAGACCGCGTGAGGGTGAGAGGCGTCTGCCCCCGTCGCTGAAGAGCCTCGGGTTCGGCGACCTCTCGTTCGGGGAGACGGCCATCGAGATCGAGAACTCCGTCGTGCAGAGGGTGAAGCGGCAGACCTACGAGGGCGAGAGGACGGACCTGAAGGTGACGTTCGGCCTCAGCTGGGACGCCGACACGGACATAACGCTGAAGGCCTTTGCGGTCGGCCTGGTGGCCACTCACGTGAAGATGTCCGGGTCGTTTGCGCTGTACTTTGTCAAGTGCTTGCCCAGGCTCCCCTTTTTCAGCGGCGTGCGGCTGTATTTTACAGATCGCCCTGCGATTTCACTCCAGCTGGAGGGCAAGACCTTTGGGAAGCGAGTCAACCTTGGCTGGCTGAACCACATGCTATCTGACGTCATCCAGGATCAGCTTGAGCGCAGGATGGTGATCCCCAATGTGATCGGCATACAGTTCCAGCGCAGTGACCCGCACGCCTGGTTCCAGATCAGGACGGCCTGGCCCAGGGTGTCCCCACCCTCCTCCTCTTCCTCCTGCCCTCCCCCTCGCCCTCCTTGCCACGGACTTGCCGATGCGCAGATAACGGCGTTCTCAGCGAGGGAGGGGGCTTAGGAAATGATAGATGGACTCTGAGGGACGCTCCGCCTCCTGCCCTCTCCCCCCCATGCAGGAGAATACTGCCCGAGGGTATCCTTACCCTCCGCGTCCTTGGTGCCCGCGACCTGGCTCCGAAGGACTTCGGCATTCAGCTACCGTTCGGGGTCAACCTGGGCCACTCCACCTCGGACCCATACTTTGAGGTGGCCCTCGGGGGCGTGCGCTGGACATCTACCACGAAAATGCAGACGCTGCATCCGACCTGGGAGGAGGACGAGGGGACTAGAGACTTCCTCGTGCACTCGCTGGACGAGCAGCAGCTGCAGCTCCGGATCTTCGACGCGGACAACCTCTCGCAGGACGACTTCATCGGCGAGAAAAAGCTGGCGGTGAGAAGCCTGGTGCGCGGCCAAGGCGGCTCCTACGAGCTGGAGGCGGCCGGGGAGGACGGCCCGCAGGGCACGGTGCAGGTCGAGGCGTCCTACGCCCGGCTGCGCCTGGATCCGGAGCACCTCCGAATCATGGTCAGTGATCCGGCGCGCGCTCAGGCCATCGGTGCGCGCTTCGTACTCTTCGTCGGCGTGGACAAGCTGCACCACCGTGACCCAGTCCCGGACACCGGGCTCTTTGGGTCCTTTGTTTGCGAGGTCGACGCGGCCGGGGGCTTCGAGGACGGCCCGAGGATAGTGCGCAGCCGCCGCGTTCAGCAGGGCACCCCCCCGCGCCGGGTGGAGCTGCCTGCGCCTGGCAACCGGACGCGAGGCCGGCAGGACGCCGCTACGCCGCTCGGTGAGTCCATCTTCCAGAACGTGCTGACCGAGGTGTTCCAGAGCCCGCTTCCAGAGGTGGTCCGCTTCACGGTCACCAGGGGGCCTCGCGAGGGCCGCGAGCCAGAGGTTCTGGGTCGGGGGGAGTACAGCTTAGCGCGCCTCCTTGACGCGCAGGCCAGCACAGAGGAGGCCACGCTGAGGCTGGACGGGCAGGACGGCGGCAGCCTGGACGTGCTCTTGCAGCTGCGGCTGGCGTTACCGCACGACGGGGAGCACGGCCACGAGGCATCTGCTGTGGGGAGCCATACCTGGCAGTTGTGGCGGCCTTGGTGGAGATAGTTGACGCGGCAATGCGTCCGTCCAGCAGGCCGAGGAGGCTCACTGGTCGAGCTGAGATGATTGTCGCGACCAGCCCTCCACCCTGGGATGGGGCGTCACCCGCAGCCTTGCCAGATGTAACGTTATACTTTGTGATCTCTGATCTCCTTCATAAAGGTTTGCTCAAGCCCCGGAATGCATCAGCCCACACAGCTTCGGGTAATGAGGAGTGGTGTCTACGATGCTGAAACAAAAAATGCGTCGGGCTTGGAGGGGGCTCGCTGCTCCTTGGGTCTCTCCGTGGTTGTTCCCATCGTGTGGCATGGATCGGGGAACTACCCCCTGCGTTCCCCCTGCAGGTGTCAAAGAAATGCCACGCTTGCCGCGCCCTGTCAGCGTGGCACGGTTGCCTGAACCAACCCTTGCGCACTCACTTTGGCGCCGAGGACGTGCAATGCCTGCCAGGCCCTGCGAGCTTGACACGAATGCCCGAACCACCCCTTGCGCAACCCCTTCTGGTGTCGAGGAAATGCCACGCCTACGAGGCTCCTGACATGCTCCTGAGAGGGTCCTGCGAGTGTGTCTGCCAGACAGATCAGGCAAGAGGGTGCGTGTCTGCGTGCTGGTCGAGCGCGTGCTGCACGGACCGGTCCATCATCACCGCCTGGGGGATCGATTTTCGGTGACCTTGGCAGGCGATCGATATGGATATATACGGGCACTCTGCCCGCTGATGTCCCAGGGTGTTGGGTCCCCAGGCGGTGGATATGGATAGATCTCCGCTTCGCAGGAGGTAAGAGACAGTTGAGGCGGAGGAGGCGCGGGTGCGACGCGGCTGGACAAGAAAGCCAGAGCCCCACCCAGCACGTGGGGAGTAACCGCGCTCTCGTCACGGAGCAGGGCTCTCTCCACGGAGACAGTTTCACAATATTCACTCTGGGAACGCGTTCTCGCCCAACGGCAACTATCCCATCAAAGCACACCCTAATAGTAGCGAAGAGGCGGGTCGTGGAGTAGAAGTTCGAGACACGGCCATGTGCACCTTCGTCTATTTCTTAGTGGGTCCTGGCCGTTTGGACAATAAATGCAGCCGCCTCTGAGCCGAGAGCACGGTCCCTGAATAAATGGTTCGGAGGTCTCAAGCGGAACGGTTGCCGGACCGGGCGAACTAGGGCTTCCCGTCACCTTTGTGAGACTCTTCTGTGGCCCTTCTAACTTATACGATCAAGTTCCCGCAGAGCATGGCGATCTGGGGACAAGGGCTGCCTCTCGAGGGCGTCTCTTCCCTGAAGCTGTCGCAATCTCAATTCCCTGACCCTTGGAAATCCTACCAGGGACTCCCTCGCTCGTCTCTCCTCCTCTCCTCCCTCCCCCTCTTCCTCCAGTACTCTCGTCCTCCCTTCTTTTTTCTCTCGCTCCTCCCTCTTCCCGAGCGTGATTCAGCCCCGACGCGGCTCGCCCGCCCGGGTTGAGGTCCGCCTGCCCGGATCGACTAAGTTCACCCATCCCTGCATTGAGAAGGATCCCCTGCAGACGGGGCCCAGGGCACGATCGAAGACGAAGTTGGCTGGAGTCGAGGGCTTGGGGCGTACCTTGCTGAATGGCGCACGAGCAGGTTAGAACGAGCTGTCTTGAAACAGTTGTTGCTGTAGCCAGGGGGGCCCATGCAGTTTGGCGCACAATGCCGTGCTTGACGCCGGAAAGAGGGTACGAGCGTGGTGTGGCTTCGTTGGGTTGAGAGATCCAAGTGCACCGGTGAGGGGCATCAACACTTACACTATTCAGATTCTATAGGCGTACGCCACATCCGCCGACCCCTATATCAGGTACTGCGCCTCCAGGACTGCATTTCACGAGGCTTGTCCGAATCATGACACGGCGCTCGACATCGTTCCTGTTGCTTCGTTGCTGTTATCGTACCTCTTGGTGCTCTTTTGTGACCTCTTGGTGGCATCTTGGCCTGTCTGCAGGCCATATCCGGCCGCCTCGAGGCATTTTGGGCCAAGTTTTGGGGCCTCTTTGGGGCTTCCTGGGGGCTTCTTGGAGGCCTTTGAGGTTCTTTTGGGGGTCCCTCAGGGCCTCTTGGGCTGTTCTTGGGGCAGGCTGGGGGCGTCTTGGGGCCGAAGGCTCGAACAGGTGTCGTCTTGGGGCCGTCTGGGGGCCCTCTTAGGCTGTCTTGGGGGCTTCGGGGGCTGCTGTTGGACCCTCTTCGACCCTTCTTGGGGGCCCCTTTGGCCGTCTGGGGGCGATATTGAAGTGGGACGTTGTGAAAACCGAATCGGCGAGCATGCGAACAATGCTTATTTTTCGAGGGGAATGGGACGATTTCTGTTTCTTGGGACCCTTTTGGGGCGCATGTTGCGGGCCTTTTGGGGCGTCTTGGCAGCTTCGGAGGCCGCCTGGAGGCCATCGTGGTCGTCCAGGGTCATATTTCGGCGAAGCGTGGCCCCCTGGGACCGTCTGGGGAGCGTTCTGGTGCCTTCATGGCCAGTTTTGGAACCCTCCGCTCCCCCGTGACGCGTTCGGTCCGGGGTCGCCCGGGGCCGGGGGGGGGGGTCAAATCTCCGGTTTGGGGTCCCTTGGGGGGTTCTGGGGGGGGGAACCATCTCACACGCCTAGAGACCCACAAGGGGTCGGCGGACTTGGCAGGTCAGTGCTATTACCTTCCTGCTCCATGGCTATCATGCTTCCAATTGTTCATCATAATACCATCTCCCATTCATGTCGTATTATGCCCAGGGGGGTCAACGCCTCATACCACCTCTTCTGATACACATTGCCATCTTCGGCTCAGCCGGCACGCGGGCGTCGCAATCGGTCCAGAGCCTTTTGGAGAGGCCGCAGAGCCGCCAGGAGAGACTCCAGAGCCGCTGGGAGAAGCCTACGAGCCTTTGGGGAGGCCTCATGACCTCTCGGGAGAGCCCTTGGGAGAGGTCTCAGGGCCTCTGGGAGAGGCGCCTCTAGCAGAGGCATCTCCTGGAGAAGCCTCGGAGCTTGCGGGAGAGGCTTTGGGGGTTTTGGGAGAACCCTCGTGGCCTTTGGGATAAGTCTCCGAGCCAGCGGGAGAGGCCTGAAGGCCACTTGGGACTCATGTTGGGGCCACCTCGTGAGGGCCAGCTCCAAGGGGCCGACCCTATCGGTCTTCAGCGATGGGTCGCGATGCCGCTGTCGGGGGCAGGCTTCAGGCCTCCGCAGAGGGCCGACCCTATAGGTCTTCAAGCCAGCTGGGGGGGTCTCAAAACTCTTAGGGCGGTGCCAGGACCCATGGGAGAGGCATCGGAGCTCTTGGTTCCTGGGGGAATATCAGGGCTTATGGGGGAGGCCCCCGAGCTTGCGGAAGAGGCCTGACATGAGGCCTCGCGGCCTTTCCAAGATGGGAGCCCCCCCGGCAACTGGCGCCCAAGAGGGAGCAACATACCCGAGAAGAAGGAGTTCTCGTTCGGAGCGTTATTCTTAGGGTCGGCTGGTTTCGGCGCGCCCTCCAAACGTGCGAGCGTACCGCGTTCGCAAAACCGATAGCCAGCGCCCAGGCGGCAGAGCCAGGGCCCATTACGGGGCATCCAACAATACTTTACTACCCAAGAACTATCATTGGTAAGCCCTTATTCAGCTACGCACTCCAGGACTATTGAAAGATCGCTCCCTCTGCGAGGCCTTTTCCACGCACCGCTTCTACGTTCTCGTGAACCCACCTTCTTGCTCGAACAATGTACCCCTGTACAGGATGCTGTCCGCATGAGGTCTGGCCTCTACGCAATATTCCACACTGTCAGCGGTGGTGGTGTGCATTCGAGCGGTGCCCACGACGTTCGCGTTCTTTTCTTAATTTGTTGCGACGCAGGGCTGAATAATAGAGTAATTAAGATCTAGAGTTTGTTGTGCGCCAGCGCTCTGGGAGTAATGTTACCTACAACACGTTCTCCATTAGTGCATAGTTATTTTCCGCTTGTGCTCATGCCCACGCTCCGCCTGGCGTGGCGTGTCAGTCGGCCAGTCTGTTTGCTTGATCGTCGCATCGGCTGTCACTCTGTATAGCCGTCGGCCCGTGGAAAAAAATGTGAGACCTTCCCCTTCCCTCACTCGGATGGCGGTTTGTTAGACGTGTAGTGTTGCGAGGCTGCCTTTGGAGAGCCCCAATCATCATGTGGAATGGCCCAAGGAACTTTGTTATGGCAAGTGATGGGCCACGCATGGTTGCCGCAAGCATCGTGCGATCTACTCGGCGACGGTTGTTGCAACCTACAATTTGCAACCATGTACTCTCTGTCTCTCTCTTGTTCTCCCTCTCCCAGACATGTTTTCGCACTTGTTGGCGCAATCCTGCACGACGTAATGTACACTCGGATGTCCCAGCCACGCTAAACAGCTCATGACAACGAGCACTTTCACACGAGCGGCCACATGTGCTATGCGACATGCTGCTCTTACTCACCGTACAATGTCCACATCTAAGTTGGAGCATGCGTTGTTCCATCTGCGCAGCAAGGCGTGCAGCGTGACGCATATGTCTATATATATATATATATATATATATATAGATACACAGATTATGATTCCTATTTTTGTATTACCCGTACCCCCACCCCCACCCCTAAATCGGACCCCCCCAGGGACGCCCCAGACGCCCTTTCGGACGTCTCGGCGGCCCCCTGGACGCCCTTGGAAATGGTCAGCTCGCCCTTCCCGGCCTCCCAGGGCGCACTGCCGCACCTTGCGAGCAGACTCAAAGTGATCAGAAGGGTCATCGGAAAGGCTCACGAGAGACCCAAGACAGCACAAGAGCGCTCCAAGAGGAACCTCGACTGAAGACGGCCGAAGAGGCACCCAAGACGCCTCAAGAGGGCGTTAAGAGAGCCCCGAAGGAGCAAACATCGTCCCATCCCCGCAGGAAAATGTAGATTTTCAGCATATCCGCTTTGGGGGTCTTCGCAGCGTCCAACACTGCCCGATGGGCCCCCGATATCGCCCCAAGACGGCCTAAGAGGCTCCCCAGAGAGTTTGAAGACGGCCCAAGAGGGCCCCAAGACTACCCCAGATAGCCCCGAGACTGGCCACAAGAAGCCCAAGATGCCCCCAGAAGGCTCCCAAAAGAGACCCGCGAGCCCTAGATGGCTTCAGAAGACCTCTGGAGGGCCCCAGCTCCCCAAGACGGCCCAAGAGGGCCCTAGGATGGCCCAAGTGGGCCCCAGGATGGCCCAGAAGAGCCCCCAAAACATCCGAACGGCGTTCTCCTACGAAGTAGATCGAGTTGACCCGAAGATCCTTGTTCCACGCTTGAGGCTCCTGGTTTAAATTCCCCGATCGAGAGAGACAGGTCTCCCCCCCTCCCCCCTTCCGCCTCCTCAGCCCCCCTTTCATCCCTGCTCCCTTCCCGTTCCCCGTTCATGGACAAGCGCCACCGGAACAGTTTGATTCTTCGTCGTTTGCCAGCACGTTCGCGCGTGAAAAATCATCATGCCTTCCCCACTCCTGCGCACAAGCGTGCAAGCGCATCGGGCGCACGCGATGTCAGCAGGCACCAGGGATGCCAGAAGA